ATTATCAGAAAATATATAGGGTATTCCATTTAAATTAAAGAAGTTATTTCCGTTTAAAGCTAATAATAATTTAAATTAAATTTTTAGACACTCTGTATAAGGTAGTATAATTTTTAGTATTGCAACACAATATTTAGTAAAAGAAAAACTTTAGTACAATATTTGGTTTTAAAAACTTAAATACGCCTAGAGAAATGAAACATTCATATTGTTACAGTATTTTGACAAAACCGTATATTATATTTCAAAAACGGTAAGATTAAAATGCGGTAAACCTTAATCAAATTCATCATTATTTTAATCGTAGAAGCGAAAAATGTAATAATATGCGGGATGCTCCATTTAAATTAATACAACTTTAGTATTTTTTTATTTACTTGGGACATTCTGTATCTTCTAAAAGTATTTTAAAATATAAATCGACTGCAACCCCACTAGTTCCTAGATTTTCTTTCTCAGTAGTCAGTAGAGACTACTTTCTGCTTAAAGTATAAATGTAGCTTAATAGTCTTTCAACGAACCTAAAACTTACAATACTTACAATTTTTAAAAATCTAATCGTTTAGTTACAATACTCCGTGTCGTATATTGTGAATAACCCTGTATATAGTATTGTGTCGTTGGCAGAAAATCTGAAACCAAGTTCAACTAACCAGAAGATCAACTTATGGGCACTCATCCATTACTATCCTATGTAGACTTCCGTTTTTATGCATCATCCGAGCGAATAGTCAAATAGATAATATCATATTTATATCATCATATCATCGTCGTTTTTAAAGATTAGTAGGTATTAATAACTACAATTATGTTTCAAGAAAAAACAAACTAAAATTAAAGAATAGATAAAATTTAGATGGGTTTGAATACGTCGATTTTTTTAGTTTTATGACCAATCATTGAAACTACTTTAACTGATATCATTATATTATATCCAAATAATTTCATACTATGAAAAAGTTCTTTAAGATCTTGTATAAAAATACCTATATAATTTAATCATATAGTTTACATACATCGACGAAACTATTCCTATCACGTAAATATATTATATCAAAATAGTGTTAATTAATCTTGACTTGAATAGTTGAAATACGTTTTTAATTAAACTAAATACATATCGTGTTAAGCTGTTGTATCTACGCTAGGAGCAAGAGACGATATTGTGTAATACGATCATGGAATTATAAACGCCTCAATAATTTCAAAGCTTTAATTGGCTTTCCACAAATTTCCGGAGGCAACCGACAAAAAATAAATAGAAATATCGAGAAACGCTTCGAGATATATAAAAAATATTTTTGAATTTCGTAATATACTTAAATGAGAACACAAAAATGTTTTTTCTTTTACTTAATATTGTTTTACTGGGACTTTTTCCAAAAGAAAAATAAACATATTTATTTTAGGATGTACGTAATCTTAAAATTTGTTTCCGTAAACCAGTCTTAAAAAATAATATATCTCCTTTTTATATATTGTTTTAAGAACGGAAAGAAAAAATAGAATGGAACTGCTCCTACGGCATTTTTTAAGTAATATATTTAGAAATTTATTAAATTTGAATCAGGATGTCACGTATTGTTCATAATGTCCGGAGGGGGGGGTCTAAATACATTAACTAAAATGTATTTAGACTTCCCATGTAATATTTTTTAATAAATGTAGCTCGAAATGTAGTATGATTTTTTAAAATTTTTCCGAATTGAATAACGTAAACAAAATTACCTAGACTATATAAAATATCCATATCCCAATATTTATATTCATGTCCCATACATTACGCTGCTACCGCTTCACCAATTTTAATTATAGTTTTTTAAATGAAAGTTGCATATTTATATTGTTATGAAGCCATTTTTCTATGGTTTAGAGGCTATTTCTTTATGTAAAATAATTAAATATTAAAGAATAATTAATTGATAGACCAGTAAGCGAGGATAAAAATAGTGTATTACCTCCGAATTCTTGAAACCCGCACCGATTGACGTCAATTTTTTACAGTGAATAGAGATGTAAATAAGAAACAGAAGTTACATAGTAGCGATGTGTGCTTTCACCCTGGGGGTGAGTGCCACCCCTTTTCGGTAGTGAAAAATAAATTACCCATTTTAATTGCAAAAATCAATAAAGGGATTAATTCTAAGCTAAACATGTTCTATAACATCTTTTCAGAAAATTAATATTTTCCGAGTTATTTAGGATTGAAAATGTTCATTTTTCATTTAAAAACTGCATATTTTTCTGCCATTTTTTTTTATAAATAACTCGAAAACCTTACGTTTTATCGCAAAACTCAGAGAAAGCAAAAATGAAGCTTTTAGAATAACGAATCGATTCGTTTTTTGTTAATTATCGTAGGTGTATTAACAGCCGAGTTATCACTCCGTAAAGGTAATTTTTTATTTTTCGAAAACCAAATTGAAACTTTTTATCGCAAAATAATGGCAAAGAACACATTTTTCGAAGAAAATGAACATGACCGTTTTTAAAGTGCTTGAAAAGACCTTTTAAATACACTTTTAAAAGGTATTTTCTAGTTAGCGTAGCTCAAAAACTCGCGGAGTTATGATAAAAATAAAATGGTCAACTCATATTTTCGGAAAAAAAAAATAACAACAAAATCTATGACTAAAATCATAAATATAAAAACTATCAATTTGTAGAAAATTACACGAGCTAAAAATTAATCTCTATAGTTAAACAGTCTTGAACTCTCTATTTTTAAGAGATTGTTGGGTTTTAAGGGCTCAAAGAAGGTGGTCCTGACACGCAAATCAAACTAAAAAAAACTAATATCTACGAAATAAAGAGTTCGACAGAAAAATTGAAAGTGAGGAAAAATATTGCAAAAAAAAGACCTTCAATTTTACTCTGTTGCATTTTTTACGTATCTTGCTTAGTTTTTGAGATTATGTCAATAAAAATATTTTTTTTAAATAATTTTTTTTTCATTTTTTTCAACTTTTTTCTAAATTTAGGCATTCAAAACCGCTCGAACTTGCAGAACCCATTGTTAGTACCTAAATATAGCCAACTGTACATGTCTTAGAGCGCTTGCACACACACCGGCTTTGCACCCGTTCCGACAGTTGTATTTAATTCTATTGCATTTGCCGGTCCCCGACTATTTTACCGGATCGGAGTACATGTGAAGGAGCTAATTTATTTTTATTGCAATCGATTTTAGCTCCGGCACCGGTACCGATTTTGCCGGCGTGTGTGAAAGCGCTCTTACAGCGCTTTCACACACTACGGAATTCATTACCAATAAAGATAAACAAAATATATTATTTTTATTTAACATTTCGAGAGCTGTAACTTCTTCAGGAAGCATTTTATATGGAAGAGCATATGTTCATAAGGACTTTTTGTTTTGTTTTTATCGACAGATAACACCCCTCACCAAAGTTAGATACACTATTTTTTGACACCCTATATATTGAGATTGATGTACCTAGAGCACAGGTTTCAATTAGTACGGAAAGTTTTCCAATTTAGCCATACACAACCGATATATTTCGCTCAAGTATTTTACAGAGAAAATTAACACTTCAGACAAAACAAACTTTCGAACTCCATTACAGAATAATCGGCATCTGTATTTGCTTTTCGATTTGCAGCACAAGTCCCGATACATTATGACCATTCCCGTTCTAGATATTACGTCTATTAGTTCTATTTTACGCTTCGAATGCCCCTTATTTTGGACACACCTATATTTTCTAACACATTTCATCCATTTAAGCTATCCAAAAGGACGGCCAATTGTCTGCCTTTATTGCGTTCGACTGGGTAAGACAGTATATTCTTCGCGTATGCCTGAGTTTGATTTATTTTTTCATTCATATGGAGAATTTTATAAATACGATCGATTCCCAAAACTCTAGAAAAATTAGTAGGCAATAGAAATACTTTATTGCGCGCAACAAAAGGAATTGGCTGGCTATAGATATTTTTTTAAATGTCTAGAAATAGATAAAATTAAAAAAACAACGTGTGCACTATGTGCGCATATTTGAAGTGACACTTCTTACTAACAGCTATTAAATTGAATGATTTAAAGGATATATATAATAGGTACGTATGCGCCCACAGATGATTCAAATCAAGCAGAAAAAGACTCTTATTATGCCAAACTCTCAAAAGTTTTTATAGAAATAAAACCGAGTCAAGAAGTTCTAATCATGGGAGACCTTAACGCAAGAATAGGCAAGACAGAAGAAAGTAAAGTGGTGGGAAAACACGGAGAGGATGTCCTTAACGATTCCGGAGAGAGGTTAATTGACTTTTGCGAACTGAATGGTCTGCGGATACTTAACGGCTTCTTTCCACATAAATTGATTCATCGATACACCCGAGAAAGGCCCTCTCTGCAACAAAAATCTATAATTGATTACGTAATTGCTAAACAAATATTGAAACTGAAATTCAAAGACTGCAGAGTTAAGAGAGGAGCAAATTGTGGATCCGACCACCGATTGGTTGTTGCAGAATTAGTAGTACCATTCCAAATCAGAGCCAGGAGTATTGAACATACACAATCACAAGAACTGGAAATCGAGGAATCTGAACGTGTTAAGTACAAGCTTCACTTACTACACGATGCCAGTATTAAATGGCTGTACCAAAGAAGATTAGATGGAGCCCTAGAGGAAGCGAATGCCTGTAGTGATGTAGAAATAGAGTATACTAACTTAAAAACTTTAATTAAAAAAGTAGCCTTTCAAGTGTTAGGTGAACAGAACATGCAGAAGAAAAGGGATGAACCAGCCTGGATAACTGCCAACATAAAGACCTTAATAAATGAAAAACAAAAATTCTATCAAAAATGGCTCTCAAACAAAACAGAGACTAACTGGGGTCATTACAAGCAAAAAACAGAGAGGTACGAGCCGCTATTAAGGTAGGAAAAACGGATATGTGGGAAAGAAGATGAGCAAGTGGAAAGTCTACTAGGGGGCGCACGGAGTACTGAGGTCTGGCGAACAATCCGACAAATGAAAACCAATCAAACGGACAAGCTCTTGAATAAAATTGATATAGAAAAATGGCGCAACTACTATGCAGAATTACTAACAGAAAACCGACCAGAATTCCAATCTGCAGAAAAGGAAGACAACCTTGCGGGCACTTTAACGATCAGCGAAAGAGAAGTACATCTAAGTCTCAAAAAAATGAAAACTGGACGGTCACCAGGTCCTGGTAACATTGCAGTAGAATTGTTAAAGTGTGGGACCGAGAAATTGCGCTGGCGCCTGGCAGAGCTGTTCAACCAGTGCTGTCTGCAAAATAAACTACCCCAAGAATGGAGAGTGGCTTATATAGTGTCTTTAGAGTGGCTTATATAATCTTTAAAAAGGGAAATCGCAACGACCCCGGTTGTTATAGAGGCCTGAGCATTAACAGTTCAGTGAGCAGGCTTTTTGGAAAAGTTCTGCAGGGTAAGCTCAGGGATAATATTGGTGACAAAATCTCAGAGGATCAAAACGGATTCACACCGGGGAAATCTTGCACAGATAACCTCTTTGTCCTACAGCAGGTGATGGAAAAAAAGATAGCAGTAGATCAAGAAGTCCATCTAGCGTTTATTGATTTGGATAAAGCGTACGACTCTATTCCTCGCAACAAGATATGGGAAGCCTTGAATATTTTAGAAGTAGATAGACCCCTACTTAAGATAATAAAAGAGCTCTATAAAGAAAATAAAGCGTACGTTAAGATAGGACACAGGCTATCCAATCCAATAAATATCACAAAAGGGTTGCGACAAGGATGCAGCTTATCACCTCTAATCTTCAATGCTTACGTTGAAGTAGCCCTTAGGGAATGGAAGAGGAGATGCCAAGGCATGGGAATACCCATTGGGGAAGATACACTGTTTACTCTGAGCTTTGCAGACGATCAGGTCGTGATTGCGCAGGACTCTTTCGATCTGGAGTTCATGACTAAGAGGCTTTACCAAGAATATAACAAATGGGGACTTCAGGTTAGTCTAAAAAAGACAGAATACTTAGCTGTCAATTCCAACAATTGTTTTGAAGTCTTCATAGATGATAACGTCCATATTCAACAAGTAGACAAATTTTTATATATAAGTTTTAAATACCTGGGTGCTACTATCAACAACGAGGGTTTGGGCAAAGAAGAAATACAAACCCAAATTCAGAAGAGCAAACAAGTTATTGGTTGTCTTAATAGCCTCTGGTGGGACCGAACTTGTCTGTAACAACCAAATAGAGACTTGGACGAACATTGATGGAATCAGTTCTTTGCTATGGTTCAGAGCTATGGACTTTGAGTGCAGATACGAAGCGCAAAATCCAAGTTGTTGAAATGGACTATCTTAGAAGGAGCGCAGGTATATCTAGGATGGAAAAAAAGACAAACATCGAGGTCAGGCGTATCATGAATGCATCGGAGGAGACAATGCTAGATCGAATTGAAAAATCCAGCTTAAAGTGGTTTGGACATGTTCTACGTATGCCGGAGAACAGGTGGCCAAGAAAAATTTTTCAATGGACTCTCCAGGGTAGAAGAAAGAGAGGCAGACCTAGAAAATCCTGGAACGGAACGGTTAAGGAAGCAATGGAAGCTTGTAACCTAGAAGCTGATGACGCACTAAATCGAGACGTGTGGCGTAGGGTAACGGGAAGGCAGCAATAGGCTGTAGTTGGAAAAAAGTATCAAATACTTATACCAAATCCCGTTTATAGCCTTGAATATTATAGAATATATATTTGAAGGATATATATTTTTTATGAATGCTTTTTATAAACTTCAAAAAAAATAAGTTAATATAAAACCGTATACTATTCTAGCTATATAAGTTTATAATGTTAATCTTATCCAAATATATACATATCGATTTAGACAGCTACAACAGCTTTTTTTAAATTTTTATATGTAGTATAATACCACCCAAAATACACACTATTATGCAAATGCCTAATAATGTTAACGTCGTTTTAAATTTATTTAAGAGAAGACATTCTGAACATGGTCGAGACATTTGTGTTATATGTGGTCGAGACACAAAATTTAAGTCTTAGTTTACTGATTTTATTCCAATCATTTTTCCATAAGTTTTGGTCACTGTGTAAAGGCAGATGGAAGGAGATATCTCATACAAAACATTATGCAGAAATTGTTACTTCTTCTTACAAAAGCATATGATTTAGATCATTAAAAGATTTTCGCAGAAAAAGATTAACTCCTTTTTCAAGAGGTTAAAAAGTAGACATTGTCTAATTCCGTCCCATTTACGTCATATCGGTGTAAATGCAGATTCCTTTTGCGATTGTGGTGAAATTGGAATGTTAAACCATATTTTTTTGAATGCAATACATCTCCTGCTTTAGTAGATAGACTATATCAATCACTTACTGTAATTTTTCACATGATCTTCCTTTGGTAACATTTTGTTCAACAGTAGGGGGATGAGAATCTCTTCTATGGCGATCCTCGTCTGTCATCACATAAGCCCTCAACCGTAGATAGTTAATTCTATCATCCGATTATTTTATTATCCGGATAGCCCTGACTGCTGTGACCATTAAACCAAAATACTACTATTTGTCTGTTTTTGTTTAAATATTTTGTTTCTGTATACTTCTTAAAAATATATTTCATAAATTTACTATTCTTATTTTACTAAATTCAAACTACTTTGCTACATTTTATGAACAGTTCTACAACTTTAACTGGTTATCTAAAATATTGTTACTAACAAGAAATAATTACACTTGCAAGAAAGTAAGCTTTATAAAAGCACTTTTACTTTTCATAGTATAATATTTTCCTATTTACGTTTTTTTTTAATTATGCAAACATCGATTACACTTTACAAACAAATTACACTTTAATCTACCACTCTAATACCTACGAGTCGATTATTTATGCCTCAATACACATACATGGATAAAAGTTTAAGGGAATGCATATAAATATCGCAACTCGCAGAGAATTTTATTTACGGATATATTAAACTCTAAAACTCAAATTTATATGTACCATATACAAAGTGTAAGCTGTTGGAGTGAAAAATAGGAATTTATATGAATGATATATCAGTACAAATATAAGATAAATATACAAACATTATTTTGTTAAACTTTTCGACAGTTGTAAAATGTTAGACACAGGTGTACATATTTAAGTAGTATCTTAATCTCGTGATTTAAAATTTTGTCTTTAAAAACAGAAACAATGTATTTAACTTGCTCTAATTGACAAAGCAGAATATTACACATTTGTACAGGGTGTTCCATTTTCGTCTGTTATGGAGGATTTCTCCTTTTGAGTAGAGCTACGAAGATAAGGTTTTTACATCACAGTGCTACTTTTTTACAAAACTAAAAATGCTACATACAGTTTTACCCTAGCCCTCTTAGTTTCTGAAATTTAGGGTGAATTTGGTATTGTTCCATTTTTAGACTCCTCTTGTATCGGGGTAAACTTATGGAAATATGAAAAGACAAAAATGTGAGTCCCATAGAGGTTGTTTTAGTGTAAGATTCAGTTGCGTAACTAGTTTTTCGCTGGAAGCTGTCGATTAATCGGACCTTTTTAAGAAAATTAATTTTATTTTTCAGAAACTATTTGAGACAGAGTTTACCAAAAATGCTTTTTATATCTACTAGTGGGTAAATGAATTTGTAGATATATTACGACTTTTCTTGGAACTTTAGTTTCGGAGATATTAATTTAATCGGACCTTTTTAAGAAAATTAATTTTATTTTTCAGAAACTATTTGAGACAGAGTTCACCAAAAATGCTTATTATATCTACTAGTGGGTAAATGAATTTCTATATATATTACGATTTTTTTTGGAACTTTAGTTTCGGAGATATAAATTTAATCGGACCTTTTTAAAAAAATTTATTTTATTTTTCAGAAACTATTAGAGACAGAGTTTACCAAAAATGCTTTTTATATCTACTAGTGGGTAAATGAATTTGTAGATATATTACGACTTTTCTTGGAACTTTAGTTTCGGAGATATTAATTTAATCGGACCTTTTTAAGAAAATTAATTTTATTTTTCAGAAACTATTTGAGACAGAGTTTACCAAAAATGCTTTTTATATCTACTAGTGGGTAAATGAATTTGTAGATATATTACGACTTTTCTTGGAACTTTAGTTTCGGAGATATTAATTTAATCGAACCTTTTTAAGAAAATTAATTTTATTTTTCAGAAACAGCTGCGTAAAATATGACCCAAACTTATACTTTTTTTAAATGAGACACCCTGTATGTATTTTTTTTATTCTATTCATACCTTGTTATAAGCTTTCTAAAAATATAATATACTCTATTACTTATTTACAAAAAAAAGTTAAAAAATGCACTATAATTAACTATGTAACATAGGCGGCCCGTTTAAATTAGATAATCAAAAAATTGAATAATCTATTGGAGGCTTCGGTGAACTATCCTGACACACGATTTTTCCTAGAAAATGAAGCTTATGTGACCTTAAAAAGAATTTCTTGGATTATTTGACTAAAATCTAATGTGGAAATACACATTGCACATAAAAAAACAATCTTAAAAATGTAGTTATTTTATTTTTATAGCAAATTTCATAACCGATATTGAAAGAGTCGCGAACTTGTTTATATTATCCGTTTCTATATTTACGCTGACAGTAGTGTAGGTGGAGTTTTGACAAATATTGCGAAATGATACATGGTTTCAGTCTTTTGTTTTTTTTTAGTTTTCCCATTTACACATTACCAACGCATTTTTATTATTAAAAATGACTATTTTTTAAAAATAAAAATAAAAAACAAAAAAAGAAAATTTAGTGGAACTGGCAACATTGCTTTTCCTTCTGAAGCTGTCATGTTAAATCAAGTGTTAAAATTCTCCATAACGTCAAATATGTGTCAAAAACTACTATAATTAAATTAAAATATTTTAAAATTCTGTGCATAATCTCCATTTATTTTTATTTAAAACTACTACTAAAAATGGTTACTTGTTGATAAAAAAAAGAAAAATGCAAAAATCCTGTGTCAAGGTAGTTCACCGGACCCCTATTGGACACCAAATTTTAGTTATTGCTTATTCCACTCTAGTTTCCGTGTGTAAATAACCTGGAATAGGAATCCTCCAATGGTCTAAGACTCGAAAAAGTTCCTCAGAACCTCAGAGCGACCGAGAAAAATTAATGATTTTCCTTGATTTAAGTAAGAACAATCCTGGGATTATCACGGGGGTCTAACAGGACCCTATCTCCTCAATGAACACCTCAGTAGATTGAAACTGAGAAACAATGGCGAATGCATATTCTGTGGGGAATATGGGGAAATATCAGAACATCTTACCACTGAGTGCGCCGA